GATCTACTGACTGGACACCCAAAGTCCAGTTACTGCAGGTGATGATCCAGCACCTCCCCTGCCCGCGACAACCTCTACTCAGCCAGGACCACCTCCTACCTGCATCAGGTGGCTGCAGCTCCCAACCCTGGCTCCACAGGCAAGTCCCTCCTGACCCACATAGGGAGGGGGGCAGAGGGGAAAAGCAGTGAGCAGTGTAGGGAGGGGGAAAGACGAGCAAAGGGAGGGGGGCTCAGGGAGAAGGGACAGGGCAGGAGCGGGGTCTTGGGGGAAGAGGTGGGGCAGGAGTGAGGCCTGGGGGGAAGGGGTGGCAAAGGGGAGGATCTAGCACTCATGCTGGAGTGTCCAGTTTTTAAATACAGTATTACAAAGTTGGCAACCATACTGGCAAAGTCCCAGAGGCTGTCTCTCAGTTTTGCAAAAGATTCTCTCACATTGCTCTGTCAGAGAATAAAGAGGCCTTAGAATGAGCAGAAATGGCTCCCTGAGGCCCATTCCCAGGCTCTGAAGGAAAGAGTGTGGCCTGGGTATACTATGACAATTTTCTGCTTCCCAGCACCCATAGGAGACCATGATAAGTAGAGTGTAAACTGGAGCTGCCCTTAGCCTAACTTACACCCGGGGCCAGACAAGATTCTGCCTGGGCCTACCATATAAGGAGTGCAAGGTGGCTTAAAGCCACTTTTATTCTCCCTTTATATCCTCCCTTCCATCCTTGCTGAAAATGCAGGAACTGAATAACTGATGCCTGGATCCACCAAGAGACGTAGGCACTTAGAAAATCACAGAGCAAACTGTGATCCACAGAGCTGAGTTAGTTGTCTAGGCTTCCTACACGATGAATGGGGAGAGAGGTGCCTTAGAATGCGAACCACAAAGCCAGCACACTAGGCAGGAAGCAGCGTAAGCTAGCCAGTGGGAGAGATGGAAGAGAGGGGGGCGTGCTAAGCCCTGTCCCTCTCACAGAGTTAAGTGCCTATGTCCGGGCTGCAGAGAGGCGCTTATCTCTCCTTGTGAGCCATGAGCCAAGGGAAGACAGGCACTCCTCCACCTAACGAACATGCAGGGCCTATCCAGTAGGTGTGCTCAGAGGCTGCCTAACTCCACCCAGAACAGCCAGGGAGTGGAGAAGGAGGAGCTGGTTCAAGTCCCCCTGCCCCTGTCTGATGAGAACAGGAGTCTGTCATCTCTCAAGGGAGTGCCCTAACCGCTAGGCTACATGGTATTCTGATGTGGGTTTCCCTGCATCTCTCCTATTGCATCTATTCCACTTTAATTGAACAATTACATATTAATGGAGCCAGAGAGTAAGAATGAGTCTATTGCCTAGTGCTTCGAGGCAGCAGATCCCTGTACAAATCCCTTCTCCCTCGGAGGCAGAGGGGGACCTGAACTTGTGGTCTCCCCCATCCCACATGAGTGCTCTCACCACGGGGTAAAGTTTATAAATGAGCTACCCCTCTGCTAGGCCATTTTGTGTGGAGTTAGTTGGCCTCTGAGCTGACCTACTAGATCTGGCCCCACAGGTTAGTTAGGCAAAGGCATGCCTATCTTCCTCCAGTTCATGGGTTGCTTTAGGGCTTAAGCAGGAGATAGGTGCCAGAAACCTAGAGTAGAAACAGCAGTGCCTATGCCCAGAATCAAACATAGGCCCCTAGGGAACTTTTACCACAAAAACTTAGGCATTGAGCAAGTTTAGGCACCTGCAGAGTTAGGCAGCAGCTGTGTGGGAGTTTTGTGGATCAGAGTGGTGCCTAAAAAAAGGACTTAGGTGCCTAAGTACCTTCACAGATATGGGCCTGAATAAGAGCTCAACAGAGCAGATGGCCTGGCTCAGCATGGAGGTTCTGGAATAAAGACAACCTCCCTCCATACTCCATAATGTAATCTTCTCAAAGAAAGATAGTAGGTATAATGGAAATAACAGGTAGGGAGCTATGGACGAACTAAGCTAAACTACGGGCTTTGAGTTGGCCATATAGACAGCAGGCAGAAATTAGGACGGGATGACATTTATTTTTCTGAAACGTTTTGCCTATTGCTGATCCTAAGATCCCCTCTACAGACATATCCTTATTCCTCAGTGCAGTATAGGCATGTGCAATAATGGCTTCAGAGTGAATAGAAGAATCATAATTCACTTGGGAGTATAAACTATGAAAGTGTAGATGGAATGGTATATGACAGCAAAGCCCTGAGAGTTGTCATGGCCCTATCGGGCCTCATCTCCATTCCAGGATCATCTATTACAACAACAACACACTAACATGAAAGGAGAACGCATAGGATACAAGTGGAAGTTTGGGGATGAAATATTGGCTATTTACACTAACATTTACTGGATTTTAACATTCACAAATCTCAGGTCAATAAAAGGGTAAATCAATTCTCTGACATCAGCAAGGGAGAATCAAGGGTCTATCCCCTGTGGTTGTTTATATAGAAGTCAATGTGTATTCTACAGAGTATATATTTAAATTTCATATCTGGCTCAAATAGGATGATTTTTTTGTACTTTTAAGACATATAAAAGCTATTTTAAGATTTCATTTAGCACATTCCTGATCTTTATTTGATCTTGTAACCATCAATAATGTTTACTAAAGATTCCAGTTAAACCCTCACATTGCATTTCCTATTAAAAAAATCACTCCAAAAGGACTGGCTGATTCACAGGGATTGGTAATGTGCTGTTAACATCTGGGTTACCAGTTCAAATCCAGGGCTCTCTGTCTAGGCATTTATCTTGTGCTGATGGCATTGAAGCCTTGGTGACTAATTGCTAGTCACCATCATCCGGTGGCTGGTCAGTGGCCTATATGAAAAAGCAGGTCACCTTAAATCCACGTTGTTAGTAGACATGAATCTTGGACACAGAAAACAGTGTCACCAGTTGGCAGCCCTGTCAGGAAAGAATGAGTTCCTCAGTGAAAGAATGAGTAGTGAGTGGACATGGAGAATGAGTTCTCCTTTCATTCTCTCTTGAGTCCATCGCCCTTATACACAACACAAACCTATTTTTAGTCTGGATAGGTACCCATGATTCTCTTCCTCTGACCCCTTGAGGTACTCCCTCCAGGACTGCCTTCAGACACTGTGGTGGCAAAGGGAAGCTAGTGCTACTCATGCTGGATGTGTTTCATGAATCTATTGAGAACCTCAATCTCCAAGGCTGTCACTCTGCCCCTTTTCATGACCAACACCATGTTGTTTTATTTACACCTTGCAATGCACTTAGGGCCTGGGACCAATGGAGTGAATACATGTGAATGCATAAATAAATCTATCTCCTTCAAAATTCCTGTCCTTGAGTTCTAGAAGAAGGTCCCCTCCAAGCAGAGAGAGAGCTTTCACTCACGCACCAGCCTGTGTCTGAGCACAAGCAACTCTGGATTCCGTGTGTCTCTGCCACACACACTGCCCACACCATGATTCTTCTCAGTGTGAGTGAGGAGTAGAACTGAGCCCAAGGTGGAGTCAGAACACAACAAGAAGGCAGGATGATCTCAATAGGGTATAGATGGGGCTGATTGAGATTCACGTTAGGAGCAGGTCCTCAAGGAATTCATTTTGAAGCACTTAAACATCTTCATTAATGATCTGGATAATGGGACGGATTGCACCCACAGCAAGTTCAGAGATGACACTAAACTGTGGGGGAGAGGTAGATATGCTGGAAGGTAGGGATAGGGTTCAGAGTGATCTAGACAAATTGGAGGACTGGGCCAAAAGAAATCTGATGAGGTTCAACAAGGACAAGTGCAGAGTCCTGCACTTAGGATGGAAGAATCTCATGCACTGCTACAGGCTGGGGACCAACTGGCTAAGTGCAGTTCTGCAGAAAAAGACCTGGGGATTACAGTGGATGAGATGGTGGATATGAGTTAACAGTGTGCCTTTGTTGCCAAGAAGACTAACAACATATTGGGCTGCATTAGTAGGAGCATTGCCAGCAGATCGAGGAAAGTGATTATTCCCCTCTATTCAGCACTGGTGAGGCCACATCTGGAGTACTGCATCCAGTTTTGTGGCCCCCACTACAGAAAGGATGTGAACAAATTGGAGAGAGTACAGCAGAGGGCAACAAAAATGATGAGGGGGCTGGGGCACATGACTTGTGAGGAGAGGCTGAGGGAACTGGCTTTATTTAGTCTGCAGAAGAGAAGAGTGAGGGGGGATTTGATAGCAGCCTTCAACTACCCGAAGAGGGGTTCCAAAGAGGAGGGAGCTAGGATGTTCTCAGTGGTGGCAGATGACAGAACAAGAAGTAGTGGTCTCAAGTTGCAGTGGCGGAGGTCTAGGTTGCATATTAGGAAAAACTATTTCACTGGAAGGGTGGTGAAGCACTGAAATGGGTTACTTAGGGAGGTGGTGGAATGTGCATCCTTAGAGGTTTTTAAGACCTGTCTTGACAAAGCCCTGGCTGGGATGATTTACTTGGGGTTGTTCCTGCTTTGAGCAGGGGGTTGGACTAGATGACCTCCTGAGGTCTCTTCCAACCCTAATCTATGATTTTATGATTCTCTGTTTTTTTAGGGTTAATGAAATTGAGCTTTGCCTTTCTTGTGAAAGGGGACACTTCACTTTGACCCAGTTAGAATTTTCAGAATTATGAAAGGGATTTTAAAGGAGCTGAAACAAACACCTAGGGTGAAATCCTGGCCTCACTGACATCAATGGCAAAGCTCCCCAGTTAGGATTTTACCCCTAATCTAGATGTGTTTCCAGCGCAAGGGTGGAATTGATGTGTACAGTGAAAAAATAAGAAAACAGTTTTAAGACCAGTTATGAAAAGGACAGGCATTCTGGGATGCCTGGCCTCTTCCTGGCCCTAACATTTCTTATGGTATGTTGTCACATTTTGTGCAGTAAAAGACTTGGGTGGGGGGGGGGGTGTTGATGGAAATACCAATCAAAGAAATAATGTTAATAATTCCCATCCAAAATCTTTTACAGAATTGAGTCACAAACTCCAAGCATGAGAACAGGATAAGGATTACCTTGTTTTCTAACTGAACACAGTCACCATCATCCAACACCGCTGTGAGATGGGGTTCTATTTTCTCTTGGGCATCATCAGATCCTTTGAATAGACCAGATATGTAAAAAGACAATGCATGACACTATCAAAGCTGCAAATTATGAAATAATTAGTCATCCCTTCTGCTGAGAGCTATTTTATTTAAGAACATGCATGCTTTTCTTTAATTCATCTTCCTCTAACACTCCCACTCTGTCTTTTACACATACCCACTGTCCACCCCAGTTGTCTTTTACTTTTCATTTCCTTTCTGCAGCAGATGAACAAAGGCCATTTCTCCCCACTGTCAAGTCTATTATGTGCATCCTCTGATAGACCATGGCCATAGGAATTAGAGTACTATCCAGTTGAGAGAAGAAGTGTGATGGAGATGAATGTATCTGATACACTAATATGTGAGTTCTCAACCTAGGGATTGCAAACGGGTCTGGGAGGTGATGGCTGCCCTCCTTTTCCTTATGGCTACAGGCTAGGGGAGAGAGAAGAGTCCCTAACCATTTTTCTGTTGTAACATGGTGTTGTTGGATAGAAAATATTGAGAACTGCACTAGTGCTAACACGCTTGCTAATAAAAAGGATAAAAAAAGAGACAGGGAGGAGGGGAGTGCCTGGAATTTTAGTAGTCATATTCCTATGAAAGCTTTTTGGTGCATATTCAAATAGGATTTTTACTGATTTTAAGAGTGCATTTCACCCCCAGTGTAGCAGTCCCTCACAAGGCCCTACCTGTCACTTAGGCAGGGATAAAAATAAGCCAGTACGGACTGTTATGGTGTACCAGTAAAAAGTGGCTGCCAGTACCGGCCCATACCCAGCTGACTTTAAAGCGCTGCCATGGCAGTGCTTTAACGTTGCTGCCCCTTTTGTGCCCCCCATCGGCGGCCCTGCTGGGTCCCTACTGGCAGAGCCACCGATGGAGGGGGCGGCGAGAGGGGCCCAAAAGGAGCAGCTGCCCCGGGGCTGGCAATTTAAAAGGGCCCAGGGCTCCGGCCGCCACTGTTGCTACCGCAATTTTTTAAATCGCGTCTGGAGCCCTGGGCAGCGTGGGCCAGGCAGCGTGGAAGGGCTGGCAGGGGACACTGACCCCCAGCCCCACCCGTTCTGCCTGATGCCCGTTCCGGGGGCTGGAGCCGGCCCCCATACTGGTAAGTCTTTGGCTTTACTTTCACCCCTGCGCTTAGATCCCTCTTAAGATCAATATTAAAGGTGCAAGTGAGGCCTAAGTGGTGAATAGGACCTTACATGGTCCCTTTTCACCTTGAAAGACTGTTAGTCACAGATACGCAGGATGTGATTTGGCTTTTCTGGTTGATATGAAGACTTCCCCCACCCCTACCCTAATCCCAAACTCTTGTCCCTACCTGATTTGTGGACTTCTGAGTTAGTTGTAGGCTGCAGGGTGGGAATAATTTACAAAACTAACACCTTGAATTATGGTAGAAGTAAGAAATGACTTTATTTTCTTGTACTGACATTTCTAAGCCCTTCAACATGGGGAGGGCTTTAAAAATGGAAAAATGAAATTGTACTGAACCTTTCAGACAAACAAAATTTGTATATTGGATTAATGTAATTCTTGTAGGCTTGGTTAACTGGTACAAAATCATGAAGAAATTGGAAAAGGATGTGTCGCCATGTGTCATGTGGAAGGACAGAGCTAAGATTCCTTAAAAGCTATCAAGCATCGCTGAAAGGGCAGCTGTACAAGGATAGTGAATATACTCATCTGTGTTCCTTTGTGTGCACACCTAGTCTGATATTCAAGGAGTGCTGGAATGAATTTGTTCCTTATACACAGAAAGAACACCGAAGCATTCATTTTGAAAACTGAATTGGACTTTGCAAAGCAATAAAATAAAGTCTAAAGTGGCCCATATTCTGAACATAGCATCAACATCCTTTTAAGAATGACCTTTTAGCTTCCTAAGTGATTTCTCTTCTACTGTTCTTCCAGGGAATCAGAATTTAGACTTGACTAGCACAAGTCTGCCAAGGAACTGCATGTCGGACTTTATATGGGATTATTGCTCCTTCCCACTCATTTTAATAGTGCATGGATGGGAGCCATAAAGTTGTGATTTGAAGGATCACTTAAAATGAGGTACAGATATAGATGTAATCCAAATGTTTTGTTCCCGTTCTAGCAATTTCTGACTTCATAGTTGAATGGTAGGCCCTTGGAAAATAAATGTAAGATGTTACAAAATTTAGTCAATATTGCAAAAAAAGACTAGGTGTAAAATGTTTGCAAAAGGGCTGCCGAGTAGCAGGAAAGAGGATAGTGCCTATGTTCACAGGTGATTTCTCTAGTATTTTATCTATCATTATTTTTCTTTAATTAAAAAAGGAAGTTTCAAGAGAAGAAAAAAGTTTTTAAAATGGCTGTCAGTTATAAATACAGCCAAATCAGATAAATATTTTCCATCACTGACTTTGGCCAAGAATGCTAAATCTAACAGCACTGTTCAGAAAAGCCCCACTGAAAATAGTTCTGCTGCAAGTGTTGTTAGATTTGGCTGTCTAAACATTTGTAAAAGGAAAGGAAAAGCAACCTGAAAAACCAGGTTCTACATGTACACTGTAATATTTTTAGAGTGTGACTATCTCAGCTACTGTTTATGTATTCCCCAAAGGGTTTATTTCTTTTTTTCTGGAGCTAAGAATGAAAAGTCTGCAATTGCTAGTATTATAAGGTATATTACCCAAACCAACTGAATGCAAATATTCAGCTAGAAACACCGCCGGACATGCAATCAAACTTTATACTGCTACCAAGTCTTATTCTTTTTCTGTTGGTTGCCAACACAGAGCAAGGTTGTGCCTTGCCCTAAGCACACCTGCACAATGGAGTGAGGAGGTGATGTAAGACACTCCCGCACACCCCTGCATGAGCAACACATCTGGAAGGTTACAACACAGGAGACAGCTGTCTCTGTGATGCTACTTCCATTCTTGCACATGAGGGCAGGAGCATGGAATGGGAGGGACCTTGACTCCCTCCACATGTTGCACCAGCAAGTGCAGCTGAGCTGGCACACAGGGGTAAGTAACCTGTGCCCGGTAGAGGGCTGACATGGATACCTCCCCTTGTCCCCTGAGCAGGAGGGGTAGCCAGGAACCAGATTGGGACACTCATTCAATCTGGCTCCTGGTCTGCTCCTGGCGCAGTGTAACTACGTGCTGCCCCTTTCATAGACCTGGGGCAAAGCCAAAAGTTAGCCTACTGTTAATAGTTATACTCATCATAAGCACATTGCAATGTGTATGAGTATGAGAAGGGGGATGTCCACCTCCACATGCCAGAAGACTGTGCTGGAGACAGAAAAGACAGGAGAGTCTGCCCAGTCTGAAATGCTGACCAGACCTCAGAAATACTGAGAACAGTCTAGAACAGGCTGTGTCTCAGGACTGTTTGTCACAGTAAGCACTGTAGAGTTACAGATCTTTGCAACATAACAAAGCTCTGTCCTTGTCTCCGTGGGTACCGTGTTTCCTGACTGATTTCGCTGGCCTCAGAGGCTCACTGTGACCTTCCATGTAACCCTTCTCTCTCTAGGGAGAAGAGTCACGGTCTACTGAGCCATTTTCATTATAAGCCAGCAAGGGAGGTGAAGAGAAGCTATCCTTCCTTGCACAGTCTCTGTTGTCTCCCAGTCTCAGTGATTAATCAGGGGGAAAGGTTGGGGGGAGCCCAGGCCCACCCTCTACTCCGGGCTCCAGCCCAGGGACCTTAATAGTATCAGCTATGGTAGCTGACCTTTTAGAAACGTGACACGTACAATTCCCTGGACTACTTCCCCACAGCAGCCCCCCACTTTCCTCAGGCTCCACTTCACCCTTACCTCAGGGCGTCCTTCCTTGTGCCTGATATGGTGTGTACTGCTCAGTCTCTCCAACAGCGCAACTTCCTCCCACAGCTCCTGACATGCACCCCCACCTGACTGACTGGGCAGCTTTTAACTACTTTCAGCCAGCTGCTGATTGGCTTCAGGTGTCCCAATCAACCTAGCCTTCTCCCTGCCTTCTGGAAAGTTCTTAATTGGCCCCAGGTGTCTTAATTGACCTGGAGCAGCTGCGATTTAACTTATCCTAGTACCAGGGATTTGTTTAGTCTGGGGCTAATATATCTATTTCCCACTACTTTTCTATAGCCATCTGGCCTTGCCCTGTCACATAACCTAAAAGTGATTGTGATTAAGAAATTCCTTTGCTAAGCCTGTATCCTTTGCTTGCCTGCTACGTTGTCTCTGAAAGAAGGTCAGTGTGCTCACAGCTAGGTGAAACTCTGAGGCACTGTGAATAAGGAACCAGGGGCTTGGAAGGGTTGAGGCAGTGATCTGGTGGTTTACTGTGGCCGGGTTGTAGAGCCCCATGTCCCAAGGAAGGGTGTCAGGCAAAGGTTCTTCACCCAGGAGTGTGTCTGAGAGACCCAGACCTAGGAACAGTGACCTGCTCTCCCCAGACCAAGTTGGCCTAGAAGCATATGGAAGCCAGCAGCTGGCTCCACTCACAAATGATTGAAGGAGAGAGGGCCCACTTATGGGAGGCAGCATGGCTTAATGTACAGACCAGTGGGCTAGGACTCAGGAAAACTGGGTTCTCTTCCTAGCTCTGCCATTGGCTTGCTAAGTGACCTTGGGCAAGTCCATGTCAGCACTCTGTGCCTCAGTGTCCCCATTTATAAAATGCTTTGAAAGCTACTAATGAAAACCGCTATATAAGAGCTAGAGATTATTATTAACTGACTAGTCTTTGTTTAAAAAACATTAAAGAGATGGAACGTTACACTAGTCATATTCCTTGATTTGCTCGAGACAATGTCTATGTCATTTTGCTCTAAAGCCCATTTTAATGAGCACAGCACACAAGTTGCTTTATAAAGGTGGATGCCTGCACCTGTGTGGAGCCCCGTGAGGATTCTGTGAAGGCATAGGAGTCAGCCTACATAGAACAGCTTGCCCGACAGGGGCCATTATCAGTTTTGTTATGTTGTCAAACAGATCTGAAAAAAATATATAATCTCTTAATGTAAATATGTTCTTTGGGATACTTTTTATTAAAACCTGATGGTATCAATGGCACATGTATTGATACCCAGTGGAAGTACACTGTAAACGATTGCACTAACAGATCACTGCACTAAACCACATACCTTTGTTATTTTTAATGTTTTAAGTATGGGATCTAAATTTTTTGTAGGTCTGATTTTCCTTTTTTCCTGCAGAACAGTAATTTTTAATAAGTTGAATCCTCCCTATGAACAACTGAAATAAAATTTAATGGGAAACTTACCAACATACAGATTGCCAGACAGCATGTAAATACAAGATGTCCACCCTGAAATATAATCAAACAATATTAAAGGTAAGCATACGTAATGTTAATGTACTCATATTTAACACTGCATGGAATTATACTGATACTGTATGCTCCATTCTCCATGATACGCTCCACAGTGGCTCTCGTAATTATACAGATTTATTTCAGTTTAAAGGGACAACAGCAATTTAAAAGCTCATATTTTCATCTGAAAATTTTGTATCATTATAAGTAATCCCTAAGATTACTATAACTGGAAACAATTAGATGTTTTTTCCTATTGTTTCATTTTCTGTGGTCACTTTTACTATTTCCCCTGTATAAATTATCTAGTTTCTCTTGTTATTTTTGTGGAACTTTAGCACAGAAAGAGGGCAGAAAGGTCACTGAAAATAGCCAGGAAAACCTGTTCAAAGTTCTCCAACATGATTCATTTTCATCACCCCACCTTGTCTGTATAAAACTGAGCAGTTCTAACACTTGTGGGTGGCACAAAGAATTTGGCACATCACAGTACTTTATATACACTCTGGATTTATTTTTTCCTTCCTCTTATGTACAGTCTGGGAGACTCCATCTTTGTAGAAATGTTTTAAATAGCTTTACTGCATGACCAGACAGGCCACTGACTAATTACGGAATTCACAAAATAGTCCCTTCGGATCTTTTACTTCATCGGATTGTAGACATTTTAACTGCATGTCCCTTTCCCCCAAATTGAAATGAGGTCTTCCAAACTTTCCTGCCAGTGCCCTCAGATTTTAGGCATGTTTGCCTGTTTTAAATCATTTTCAGTATGTCTTTTCTCCACCTTTTGTTTTGGCTGCATAAAGTCTGAGAAAATACCACAAATTCCATGCAAATCTCCTTGGATGGAAAAGCACTTAAGTCTGCCTTCTTTTTTCTTTCATGAGATATATTTATGGATTTTCTTTCCTGGCTCTGAAATGTAAATTCCAGAATCGTATCCACTTTTATTACTTTCCTCACAGTAATTCTGTATTAGCCTCAGAGCTTTCTCAGTTTTCTCTGTCAGTAACACATTTTCCTTACCTGCTGTAACAGTTTATTATTGTATTGGACCCTTTTTCTTTGTGTAATTCTTCTAAACACCTGGGGCCAGATCCTTGGCTGGTGTCGTTTCAGCAATTTATACCATCTGAGGATTTGGCCCATTAATTTCTCCAAGGAGTTCCTTGCTAACTTTCTTCATTTCTCTTCTGTAAGATGAAATGCTGAATTTACCCCAAGTAAATATTTTCCCTATAATCCATACCAACCATCTCCTGAGTCAATTTCTGTCATTTGGTATAAGATTTTTACCACATATTTTAGTTTAGAAGCCTCCTTCTATTATTAACTGCACTTGATTGATAGTCACACCCTCACCATGCAAGCCACAGAGGAGAGCAATTAAACGTAAGGATGCCATTCTTGTTCTGTAATAATCTCTCTTTTAATGTTATTGGAGGAAATCATTAAATTTAATAGAAGCTGTGGTTTCTCATTTGAGATATATAGTATTCTCACTGGTGATTGTATTAGGTCCTACTCATTCACATACTTGGTAACGTCCAAAATTCAATAATTTGCATGGGTTTCCCAGTCATTAGGGTGAGTTAAAAAGGTTTATATGATTTTCAATTAATGATCAGATTTGTAAGTATACTGGTTAATATCCACTATGTGTTGTCCTATATTTGGCTTTGTGCAATGAAGCCAAGTTAACATTGCTACTGAAATATTAACCTTCACAGTTTTAGATCTTTTTTCTGGTTGGTTTTCGCTTTGCAATGGTAATGTTGCAGAAACGAGGATTCTGCAAATAATTATATTTAAATTCAATAATTACCAACAAACAAATGAACACAGTGCAACTTTTTCTGGTCTACAGTTACATCTGGCACAGGTCAGAAGTAGTGCTAGTGGCGTTGATAAGAGTTACTTGTATCCTTGTAGTGGAAGAATCAGGCAACCTGTTACGTTTTCCAAAAGAAAACACGCCCCCACCCCCCAAAAAAACAATTCTTTTAAAAATCCCAAAGAATGAATACACTTACATTGCCGCCCCACCCGCAAATGTGTGCTGTGCAAAAAGCTGCTTGATACAGTAGTTAAGGCAGGTGACAGAGTCAAAAGACCAAGGTTCTAGTCCTGGTTCTGCCACTAACTTGCTGTATGACCTTGGGTAAGTTACTTCACTGCTCTGTGCCTCAGTTTCCCTATTGTGGAAAGTCCTTGGAAATCTAAAAGTGGTATATACAAGCTATTATTATGTAGTTCTCATCTATGCTGGAGACTTGTTATAGCAGTAAGAAAGCATAGTTTAAGTACATGCCCCTCTGAAATACTTTCTGGATTTTCCTTCCAAGTCCTTATTTTTTTCTAAATTTAAAGAACACATCTAATAGGTGTACTACTGCAGAGAATAACTGCAACAATCTACATCTTCCCAACTGTCTGGGCTTGAGGCCCAGACCATGCAGATAGTTGGGCCCTGTTTATCAGTCTGTCATTAGCCTGGAAAAACTCGATATATAAACTTCTATTGTAAGCTCAACAGCTTTCTCCATATATAGAAACATATGGAAAAATGGGTTAAGCATAGAGTCTTGAGAACAGGTAGCTGCAACACAGCACTTAATTAGCATTATTATAATCCTATTGTTTCAGGAAGGTGTTGTTTCATTCTGCCAACGACCTCTCTCTCTGCACTATGTTGCCAGGCTTAAAAGTTCTGCTAAAACTTCTACTGCCCCAGTCCTTTCCCCAGTAAACTCAATATGAGTTTTACTATTGATTTCACTGGAAACATGGGCAGGCCAAAAGACACACTTATTATTAGAATAAAAATGAGAAAGATGACATAAGACACCATAATGGAATTTCTCTGATAGTGATTGTAAGTACAGTATCTGGGAAACAGCAATATAGTGTATAACATTCTGGATATTTGGGGCTTTAAATTCTCCATTTCTATACTAAGCTTAGGGACAGAGTGTTCTTTTATATTTGCAATATGCTCCTCTTGTAGCCCAAAATAATCCACTGCTGAATTTGTATGCGTAAGTCCATCTTCACAGCTGAAGACAGCATTTGACCCTATGTGTAAGTTGCAAAACGTCATCATGTCATTGTGCTGGTGGTCCACTCATGAAGCCGGTTTAGATCAGGCTGTCCCCAGGCACAACCTTCACATCCTCTATTCAACTTTGCAACGTTTGTAGGGGAAGGTGGCACCAGCTTGCCAAGTGAAGAGTCAGTCCAAGTTTGCAAGATGAGTTGTATCAATGGGAAGATCATTTCAAGACACTCCTCAGCAGTCCACCACCTACTGTGCATCTTCTGACTGAAGCGGGTCAGGAAGTTCCGGTACTGCCATCTTTTTTCAACCAAGAAGAGACCTGGATCACAGTCCATAAGTTGAAATGTGGGAAGCCACAAGGGGTTTGTAATGTCAACCCTGAGGTGCTGAAGTCAGGTGAGAGTATTGTTGTACCATGGGTACACAGGCTCTTCCAGACCATCTGGTGCACTCTTATCATCTGAGATGACTGGAAGAAATGAGTTATTCTGCCTCTGTTCAGAAAAGGACAATAAGGGCAAATGTAGCAACCACAGAGGTATTACGCTGTTGTTATTATCATCCATGTTACTGTTTCAAATCAACGATACACTTCATGGTAGAGGCCGGGATATTTAGTGTGGCTCTGGACCTGATCAGTCCACTATCGACCAGATCTTTCCCTTGAGACAGCTTTTTAAGAAGATGGCTGAATTTAATAAGCTGGGCACATTACTGTTTATAGACTTCCATCAGGCCTTGGATTCAGTGCAATGAGCAAGCTTGTGAAAGCCGATGAGGTGACTTGGCATCTCTGGGAAGATAGTGTCATTGATTGAAGAGCTCTACAATGGAACAGAAAACTACGTTCGAGTTCGGGAAGGCTGCATTGAGTCACCTTCATTGTTCAATATCAGCACTGACTGGCTGATGGACAAGCTTGAGGAGGCAGTAGGCATTGAACAGAACACCATTTTCCTTTGAGACCTCAAATATACCAATGAAATTGTCATGTTGGCTCAGTTTGGTGAATCACTACAGCTGATGGCTGATCTGCTTGGGCAAGAAACAGAGTGCACTGGTCTGGTTATCAATCCAGACAAAATTAAGTTCCTGGCCGTTACCATCAAGCAGCCTCCAGCTCCAGATTACGACCAGTCAAGTATTAACCTGTGTGGTTAGGACACTGAGGAGGTGGCAACTGCCAAATACATGGGCAACATCATAGACAGTGCTGGAGGATGCTCAAAAACTGCAGACATTCATATATCAGCAGCAGCCACCACCATGTCCTGGGCCCTTCGGCGGCCTCTGTTGGGCTGTCATAACATTGAACTTGCTATGAGCTGTGGCTCTATAGGACTACAGTTACATCCGCTCTACTGGACAGCCGTAAAATGTGGGTGCTGAGGAAGGATGAAGAGTGGTGGGTTGGTAGTTTTGATTCTCGCTATCTTTGTCAGCTACTCCATACTAAGCAGCAGGACAAGATTAGCAATGAAGATATCCATAGCCAAATCCATCAGCCACCTCTGCCAGCAGCTTTCTTGGTACAGTCTTATATTAGGATAGAGGACTTCTGAATTAGGAAGTGTGTTTACCAACAAATGCTGCTACATGTCTGGCAATCATGTGATCACCAGAAACTTCAGTGGCATGGTAAGATTGCGCATGGCAGACATAACTAGACATCAATCTGGGTGGTGCTCGAACTGCAAGGAGGCTATGTCCTGTTGGGATCTGCCATGATAATGATGATCACAGACTGCAAACACAGTAGATCTAAAATTAAATAGTGAAATCACTGTATATAAAATGTGGCTTGTTTTCCAATCCTACACAAAGGATTCTCACAAATTCACATGACAGCCTTCTAAAATCCCTCTTACTCCATTCATTTCACTTCCCAACTGTGGCATCTTTTCAGCAGAAGACTTGAAAAGGCTCTGGGTTT